AGATGAGATTTTCCCTAGGTCACACCCAATTTTATCCCAGAAATGGTCTCAGCTTTCCATCTGAACCAAACTGTTATTATGGGGTTTCAAGAAAAACAGCACTCACCCAAAGATGAAGAAGACTCCACACCTTGGATGTTCATAGAGCTTTGGTGTTCTACCTGGACTGCGCAAGGTCCTTCAGAGTCTCTTCTAGACTTTTTGTAGCCCATGCTGAAAGAGTTAAGAGTTGATCATTGTCATCTTAGCATATCTCACATTGTGTTTCTGACTACATTAAGCTCCACTACCATGTTGCTGACATCTCTCCTCCACCGAGAATAATGGCTCACTCCACCAGTGCTAGTTCCGCTTCAGCAGTCTTTCTGAGCAATATCCAGTAGCTGTTAAGTGACACCAGTGACGTGGTTCACTGTGCATATCTTTTTCAGACATGCTATCACTCAAGCTTCTTATGACAATGCTAACTTTGGGAAGCTGGGGTTACAATCTCTGTTCAGATAATCCAGAGTCCTTCCACTTGTGAGGGAACGGCTGATGAATCACCTGGAGTGTAATTTATATACACCATCACTCAAAGGAGAAAAAACAGTTACTTACCTGTATAGTAATTGTTGTTTTTTGAGATTTTGTGCACATATACATTCTATGACTCTTCCACCTTTCCCACTACTTCAGACATTAGATAGACAATGATGCGAAGGAATGGAGAGGGAAATGGCAGACACATCCCTTTTATGCCCTCGAACAGTTGCATGAGGATACCATGGGCACATGTGCTGCCTAGTGATAGTGCTGACAAGTCTGACTCATGTGCATTGGGTGCACTGTACCTGCAATGGAATATATATGTTCACAACACACCTTGAAGAACAACCGTTACTATACAGGCAAGTAACATTTTTTTTCTCAAGATGCCTTTGTCCACATGGATTCTATGACCTGTTCTCAGTACAAAGTTCTTTACCTGGATATCTGTATCGGTGAAGGATCTGAGTGCCAGTTGCTGCTGCTCTGCCTCTGGATAGGACATGAGGACATTCAGGCTAAATGTGCAGTCCCAATAGACACTGCTGGCTAAAAGATTCTGGGTCCATGTGTGTGGGGCACGCACACCTACAGTGTAGACCAAGGCATTTCAAACAACTCCAGTTACGTTAAGATAAGTAGCCTCTAAGATAGTTGCCAGAAGATTGGGAAACACAAGGGAAGGAATATGGATTCTGGAGGGGAGACATTTTTATTGATTTACTACTTCCTTCATGGAAGGAAATGCATCTTTAGAAGGCTTTTAGTAAGTGAATCAGAGCACTGGTTTTGTAGCTCTAAATATTAAAGTAGCTGATTATAGCTATCCTGAAATAGTCAACTGATTATATATTAGAAAAGTCCCCATTTGTCTCCTGACATTTTCTCCAATAAGATGTGTAAGATCCCTGAATTCTGTTGTGATGCTTCTGACAGTCAGTAGTATCAATTAATCACCTTGATCCAGATGTTTGCATTTCCAGTCACTAAATGTATTGCTAACACTATATAGAACAGTGAATGCTGGTACCAAGGGGTATGATATAGGATTACACAGTGTGTATTTTGTAATGGTCTCTATAATTACCCTTAAAATGGCTAGAGCACCCTCAAAGAAGTTATAAGATCTGCCTAACATAGCTGAAGTCCTCACTAAAGTCCTAATATTGATGGGCCTAGGTAAATAATTGGAAAGAATGGAAAAAATTAGCATTTTCAATGTGCTTGTGATGCTGTCTGGAGTGGCTCATAACGAGTCCTACCTCAAGGTAGGCTGTCAAAAACAGGGCAGACACCCCAAATTGGTGGTATGTTCTATAATTAGATTTCACCAATCCAGTATAGAGTCACAGACAGTCCCCTTAGGCTCTCCAGTCTATCACGCCACCCAGACAAGCTGGAATTAGTGATAAATGGTCACTCAATATTCACGTTGCACCAAAAATAAAATATTCAGGTTGCTCCCAGTCCCAAGAGACCAGTCACTTGCCCCAGATCAATTTGTATCTTAGATCTCGCACTAAAGACAATGCCTGTAGCCAATCCTGTAATAAACTAAATAAAGGTTTATTAACTAGGAATAAGAAATGAGTTATTTACAGGTTAATGCCAGCAAGCATATACACACAAATGACTTACCATCTATGGTTCTTAAAAATGACAAAGGTGTAGTAGTAATGTGTTGATTCAAAATGTTTTTCACGGCAGACCCTGGGGAACTCTGCCTTAGTTTATTGTTGCTGGCCCTGTGAGTTCAAACAGCAAAGAGATGAAAATTTTTCTTGTGACCCTATTTTATCTGTTACATTTAGCCTTCCAGTACATGAGACAAGCTCCCTTGCATGTAGCATTTCCAATGTTGATAGGGCCATTCACCAATCCTTTGTATTGTAATGTTCCTTAATGGGCCGTTTAATCTTCATAGGCCTCCTGAATGGGAAGGGAGGACAATTTTCATGCCTGGGTTCACAAGTTCAGAGCAAATGTTTTCAAAGTTTTATAAAGCAAAATTTTCATATTTTTTTTAATAGCATGGAATACAGACATGACAAGTGAGATTAATGCGTGGAGCAATTTGCAAGCATTTCATAGAGTTTAAACACTCAATACATTCTTATAAGACTAATACCTGTTTTGAACAAAACTAACTTACAGAAGAGCTGGTTTGGTTTCCAGCTATGAGTTTGTCAGTGCTCAGCTGACACCTACAGACTGGGTAAGAGCTGACACAACTGGCACAGCACTTTCCACATTTATGGAATCTTCTATTTAAGAGAGAGGAAATTTCAAGACAAAGAACCTTGAAATTCTAGCTTAATTATGTTATATTTGTCATAAAAAAGACAATAGAATGTTTTTAAAAATTGAAAGCTATCCTATAGTTTTCCTGCATGTACTTTAACTCTGCCCTTGTATCTCCTCACATGTTTATCTGTAATTTTAAATATTTCCTTTACAACCTCCTCATTCTCTTTTGCTTTTAAAGCAGCTCAGACACTAACAGCCCCTGCTAAAACTTTACATACTAGCGTACAAACCAAACCAAATCTAATGCATCTGGGACTAATATTTGACCCTTCGCTAGATCCTTCTTACTAATGTTAGGGAAATTACAAATTTCTGTTTTGGTTCTGTACACAGTCCAGGGGAGCACCTTTTCCTCATCCACCATCATACTGCAAGACAGCCATCCCACTGTACTCTAAGCACCCTCCTAACAGATGCTAGACACCACACTACCCCCATGGTTTTCACTATCCTAATAGCTCAGAGTTGACAAATTCATGCACTAATAAACAGAAAAATTTCCCGGCAAGTAAGGAGCTCTGCAGAAACTGTTGGATGAATCTGGTTTTTTATTTAAAAAACAGATTACATTTCCAGCCCTTATAATTGTGAATAACCTCCCAAACGTTGTCGACACTATTCCATTTTTTCTCCTGAACCCACACTGCAGACATGCCACCTGAAACATTTGAAGTGTGAATTCTCTAATACGTAAATCCTGGCTTCTCTACACAGCCAGAATCACAATTTTTTTCCACAGTTGACTGTTCAGTGGCAGCAGTTGCGCTCTGTAGTCACTACTTCAGCCATATGATGAACTGTGCCCCACTTGCACTCACAGCATGCTAAGGGGAATGGCTCCATGCAATGTAATCCATTGCCCTCTCCTCCAGATACACAATGTACTGTGGCACACAGGGAGCCTTCATGTAGTTTGGCTCCATAGTACACAGGATCTGTACATCTTCATAGGTTCTTCATATTCTGACCCACTCTGTGTGTAGTGGAACCACAGGGGTTTTGCTACATGAAGGTTCTCCATGGTTGCACAGAAAGGCATGGTAAACTGCCTTTGTTCATGGTGTGTCTCATGCATATCTTTCTTAGACGTATCCTTCAAAGCAGCTATATGTCTGAAAACTTGGGAGGTTTCAAGCATCCCTCTTCCATTTGTTCCAAAACTTGAGCACACTTAGAGCACTGGTGACAAGTAGGATTAATTTTCTGTACCTCCTATATGCTTTCTCCAAGGATGTTCGAGGTTGGTGCAGGAATCTGACTTTTTGAGTGTCCAGTCTTTAAACCTTTAATTTTTCTTTTAAATTACATTACTAATATTTTATGATATAACATATCAGCCATGAGTATCTGAATTAAGTTTTTGTTAAGAGAATTATAAGAAGTGTACTTTCTTATCCTATTAGAATGGGGAATAGCTGACAGTTTATTATTTGATGTGGCATCATTACCTTGAAGTTTCAAAGTAGGCTCAACTGTGCTCACTCTACAGACACAAAAATGAAGACTATAACATCTTGACATTAATTTGTTTATTAAATATGCATAACATCATTATTGCTAATTTTACTCAGCAGTATTCTGACACTGTCATTGTTTGAAGTCTGTACTCAATAAGTGTTTCAGTTTATTCATTCCAAGAAATCTTGAGTTATATCAGTTTAATATTGGGACGTCCGGTTATAGTACCTCATAGTACCATATTTGCCTTATGGGAGTGATGAGGTATGATTTTGAAAGTGGACTATCTGCAATACTCAGGAAGTGCAGAAATGATGCTATAACATCTTTTCATTATTGCCCTTATACATTACTGTATATAGAGATTCAGACCTGTGTAATCCAATCTTAGTTTATCCTTGGGTCTTAGAATTCAGTGACTGTGATGAGTGATCAGTTGTGTGTCAGATGAGGTACATATAATTTGAACTGTTGGGTTGAATGATAAATGTGTCCTTTTCTTTACAAATAGCCTAGAAAGTGAGACAGAATGTTTCAAGAGGAGGTCGTCTCTTTTTTGTGTATTCACACTATATTAAATATGAGTGTATGATTGAGAAGATATACATAATTCGTTGGTGTGATTCTGATAAGTCATGTTAAAAGCAAATTTACAGATGTTTCCACATTTTTAATAGTGTATATTCCTTTTTATTGTTGGTCCTCAGCTGAGCTAGATGCTGAGCATGCCCAGAAGGTTTTGGATATGGAGCATACCCAGCAGATGAAGCTAAAGGAGCGTCAGAAGTTCTTTGAAGAAGCCTTCCAGCAGGATATGGAGCAATACCTTTCTACAGGATACCTGCAGATAGCAGAGAGACGAGGCAAGTTTTGAAATATCCTCCACTTAATCCATAGACCCACAACTAGAAGGCTAGTGAGAGGATTGTTTTGGTTTCCTTTTGCACTTGGTTTTATTTTGACACTTTTATTAATACAGTGCACAGTAAGTAAACACAGCAATGCAGTGCGTTATAGGAGAGAAAAGGGTATATCTTTTTATGTTTGATCTTTGTTTTATAATGCAGTACCAGCGCTAGTCAAGGAAGAACATAATTATTGCTGAGTACAGTATTGTACTATGCTGCAGGTGTGAAAGACGGGGATATGCTATACTTGGAAAAAAAGTAATCAAAGGAAGGAGTAGGGTTGCATCTCCGTTCGCACACTGACATCAGCATTGTTTGAGACTTTTAGTAATATTCATACTTAAGGTATTTCTTTGGCTTACCTGTTATATAGTCAGTTTTACTGCAAAATAAAAGGTAAATAAGAGTTCATATGACAGCTATAAAAATAATTATTTTAGTCATTATTTGATGTACTATAATTGTGGCAGAGTCAAAACACAAACTTCTTTTGGGGGCAGCTGAAAGTACTTGTACCTCACTTAGTCGTCCCAGTTAAGGTTGTTTCGTTGTTGATCAATTAGAGAACATGCTCCTTTAAAGTTGCGCAATGCTCCCGTATAACATTGTTTGGCAGCCGCCTGCTTTGTCCACTGCTTGCAGAAAGAGCAGCCCATTGCAGCTAGCTGGTGGGGGCTTGGAACCAGGGTGGACCAGCAGCCTCCCATCAGCTCCCCGCTCCTGTAAGTTCCCTGTGCGGCAGCCGCCCAGCAGGCTATCAGTTGCCAGGCAGTTCAGCTATCCCTCCCCCCACTGTCATGTGCTGCTCCTGCCCTCTGCCTTAGAGCTGCTCCCGGAAGCCTTCCGCTTGCTGTGCGGCAGGGGGCAGAGAAGAGGGGGGTTAATGTCGGGATGTCCCCTTCCCGCCTGCTCCTGCCTCCCTTCCCCCTCTCCCCCCCCCGCTTACTCCATCTCCATAGAGCAGGGGTGGGACCCGACAGGGTTCAGGATGGAGGGAGCTTGCTGGAAGCAGCTGCTGTGTCAACTTGCTAATCTACTAAAAGGCAATGTGCAGTCAGCATACTTAAAGTGGCAATGTGCATCTCTCTGTCTCTGTCTGCCATGCTGTCTCCCGTCCCTTGATTCGTGCGGCTTTGTAGAGTATGAGGCTACATTAATAACAATGTGCTAACCCTTGAGGGCTCAGCTGAATTCTAGTTAATCATTTAACAATAAGGCATTCCCTGGGAAATATCCCACCCCCTGACTCCACCACCTCAACCAAGCCTCACAATTATCATTGCTGTGTACAGTATTAAATTGTTTGTTTAAAACTTATAATGTGTGTGCATGTGTGTGTGTGTCTGGTGAAAAAAATTTCCCTGGAACCTAGCCCCCCCCCCCCCCATTTACATTAATTCTTATGGGGAAATTGGATTTGCTTAAAGTCGCATTTTTCAGGAACATAACTACAACATTAAGTGAGGAGGAGTTCCTGTACATTTTTAAATACGTTTATTAGGTTAAAGGAAAGGTTTCTTCAAGTATTTGATGTTGGCATTATACTGATACTAATCAGAAGTTTGCACTTGTCTTTAATGGTGTGAAGTCTCCATATGGGACAATACATTGGACATTTGTCTAGGCCAGGGATGGCCAAACACAGCTTGTGAGCCCCATGTGGCTCTTTTACAGTTAGTGTGGCTTGCGGAGCCCCACCCCTTTTCTCCGCCTACCAGACTGGATGGGAGGAACTTGAGGCTTCTGCTCTGTGGTGGGACTAGGGATTTCTGCCAGAGATGACTGGTTCCTCCTGACTGCGGGGCGGGAGGGGCACAATTTAAAGGTTCCCCCCAACAGCTTGAGTCACACCCTCCCCTTACCCTCAGCGGCCCCTCCCTGTAGTTCCCAGGTGTTAGTGCTGCAGGGAGTGGGAGCTGCAGGTAGGAGTTGCTGCGTTAGCTCTATGGGGAGAGGCAGCAGCAAAGGGAGTGGCTCTGTCTGCAGCTCCCAGGTTGCCGGCTTCAGCAGCTGCTGTGCAGGGAGTGGGCCCAGCAGCACCATGTGACTGAGCAGGGTCAGCAAACCCTGGCAGAAAACTGGGGGCCACACCTGTTGGGGCTCAGGGCTTCAGTAGGAGTGGGTCTGAAGCCCCCGAGCCTGGGCAGACAACTCCTGCATGGCTGAAGCCCTGAGACCCCTTACCCACGAGCACCGGCAGGCTTGCCCCAGCTCTTGAACTTCTGAAGATTGTCGTTTGCAGCTCGGAGGGTCAGTAAGTTTGGCCACCCCTGGTCTAGGCTCTGCACTACAGTCTGCTACCACTGATCACACTGGTGGGTTGAATGGGAAGAAAGAACACCTGCCTTTTGAGAATTACAACTCTTCCTTGCATTTTCACAACTCCTGTGTGTTGATACTTGTACATTGTCCAGTCTTGTACTTTTTCTTTCTTGAGAGATTTTTGTTAAATGTGCAGGTGGGGAATAGAGTTGTGACGCAGGAAGAAGAAAACGTTTGGATTAGTAAGCACCTTTGGGCAGGTCTGTCTCTTCATAGGCATTCCTATAGCACCTGCATGACAGGGCCCTGATCCTCATTGTGGCTTCTGAATTATCTTCTTTTTCTTCTTAGCATGTGCGCAACGTGCCTCAGGTGGCATGTGACCAGGATTCATCATGGAATTTGGTCCATTGGTTGGATCATTAGCTTCCCCGTTTGGGCCGCGTACTGAGTGTGATATGAATGCTGATCCATGCCCCCCCAGCTTCTGGGTTCTAGTAATACAAATATTAGTACTAATAAAATACCTTTTTGCAAAGATAATGACGGCAGCCTGCTCTAAAACAATGAGCAAGAAACAAAGAAATCTTTCCTGCTTTTGTAGGTTCTGAGTCTGCCTCTGAGAAGCTATTTATAATTCATATAAAAAAATCTATAAATACGATAACTTGTATTGTTATCAAGATCAGACCTTGTTGTTTTGTCTCTAAGCGATTACCAAAGCTGTTTCCTATCAATAATCAATTTTCCTTGTTTGCCAATGTATGTAATATTTACATTTTGAGAATAGCTGTTTAATAATTAAGGATGCAGTACAGTAATGTGGCAATTGTGGAAGCCTTTGTAATAACATTACAAAGCTGATGGTCTTTGCCTAGAACATGTGCTGCATTGTCAATTCACTCATATTGTTTATTGCTACAGAGCCAATAGGAAGTATGTCTTCCATGGAGGTGAATGTGGACATGCTGGAACAGATGGACCTGATGGACATGTCTGATCAAGAAGCACTAGATGTCTTCTTGAACTCAGGAGAGGACGATAGCATACTATCTCCAATTTTGGGTATGAAATGAACAGTTAGGACATGCCTTGTAAATTATCTAGTTGTGCTTGCACTAATAAATCACTAGGACTCTAATCTAGAATGTTTCATACTGTATCTGTTCTCTAAAGGTTAGTATTTCCTACAAAACCTCAGTCATGATGCATAAGAGCTTACTGCAAAGCTGCTTGATTTTTCCAAGAGACCTCTTTTTTCTTCTGGCCCCAGGCATCCCTCTGAGTGTCTTGGGGTTAGATGGCTTGTACATTTTTGTTGTTTAGGTAATAAAAGAATCTACTTTATAGGATCTTTGGCTTTATATATATAAAAAAGTTATCGATGGGCATTTTAATTGTTTATATATTATATATATAAAACACACATTGAACTTCAGCTTTTAACAGCTTTAATTTCTTTGCGGTAGTTAAGCTTTTTATTTTAAATAGAATACTTTTCCCATAATTAGTCTTGAATTTGTCATTTTGAAGTAAGCCAAGGCCACTTTCATCACAAAAGCTGCTCAAAGCTGTAGGCTCTCTTTGTCAAGACTCACAGGAAATGTTTGGGCTGGAACTCAGCATTAAATGATTGCCTTTCTAGAGTTTCTCTACACTCGTGTATTCAGGTATGTTACTTTACTAATTGAAGAGAATAACTTACAATAGGACTGAGACATTCAGAATTACTTTATATGACCTTGTACTCTGTTCAACTTGTACTCTGGTTTTATTTATTCAGACAGTAAGTAGCTTATAAAATATATTTCTTTGATCCATGTTGATCTGAGCCACGTTACAGGTAGTGCTGTAAACTTTTTTCTACTAAAAAAAAAAAAACTAACTGAGGAATGCTGCCATTCCTCCCTTTAAATCAGAACTCATTCAGTTTCTCTTTTTGTTTTCAGGTGCTGACTTGGTATTCTAAAGCAGCAGTTCTCAAACTGTGGGTCGTGGCCCTGTTTTAATGGGGTCACCAGGGCTAATGTTAGACTTGCTGGGGCTCAGGGGCCAAAGCTGAAGCCTGAGCCCTACTGTCCTGGGTGGTGCGGCTTTGGCCTTTCCCCCCCCCCCCCCCCGAGGCAGTGAGACTTGGGTGGGCTCAGGCTTTGTTTCTTCACCCCGCCCCATGTAGTAATTTTTGTCAGAAGGGGGTCGTGGTGCAATGAAGTTTGAGAATCCCTGTTCTAAAGCAATTACATTATTTTATATCCTTTGTTAATTTTTTTAATATATTAAGACAGTGTGATTTAACATACCTTGATATATGGAGATGTACTGGGACCTCTTACTGTAGCATGCCTGAACAGTCTAGCTGTTGATTGCAGAAGATTAGAGATATTTGGTCACCTCAAGCAGTTGCTGTACATTAACATTTTATTCTACAAAGTGCAAAACCTTTGTTCTCACCAAAATGCCTTTCTCAAAACAAAAACAAAAAAATCATAAAGCCAGAATTTTTTAGGAAAAGTGATGTCAAGAATAACTGTCCTTAAACCTAAGGATATTCAACCTGCCTCTTCAGAGTAAAGAAAATCTTTTATTTTCACTATCAATACATTAAGTAAAACACTGTCTAAAACCATCCGCTACCTTAGGATAAGTTTGTCACAAACCAGGCGGGGTGGCGTGGAGGGGTAAAATTTCCTGGGGTTAATTCTCCTGCCAAGATTAGTTGTATGCCCTGGATATGAAAAACACTTACCCCTGTAACAGGGTTAACTTCCTTTGATTAGCATGAAGGGTCTAAATTCTTATTGCTGATACTTAATTCAGAGGATTGTGTTTTAAAGTGTCATCTTGTCTGTGCATTTATTAACATTTTATCATGGTTGGAATTGGAACAGACAGTACTTACAGACTTAAAAAAAGTTAAAGCTAATGTTAAAATTATATAATACACAGGTTAAGGAAAGACTACCTGTACATCTGGGTGTAGTGCTTAAATTATTCAAAAGTAAAAAGGTTGGTTGGAAAGTCATAAGATACATAGAGTATATAACCTTAATTTAGGATACTGCAGATTAATAAATTCAGTGATACAGTTAAAGTATTATTATAACCTTTCTGAGTGGGCTACCCGTTAACTGGATGCTAAGAATAGCTTGTGGAATGCAAATATAGCAATGAGTGAAGTATTTGAGAATTTAGGATAGGTTGTACAATGCATCAGGGAGGTACGTCAGTTACTTTCCCAACTTTTTCTCAATGGCACTCGAGCTCATCTCTCCTGTTATTGCTGATGTCTGGTGATGTGTTCTAGATAGATGCCCCTTGACCACCTGATGGCATCTGACCCCATGAGTTGCTGCATCAGCCGAGCATAGCGCTGACCAATTCTGCATTCTTGCAACACTCGCTCATTACTGGGTTCCCATGGGCCAAGGGCTCCGACAGTCAGCATGAAGTTTGAACCTCGTAACCCCTAGCTCTCAAGGTGTCCCCGCTTTTGAGATCAGGCGTCGTGGAAGGCCGGGGTCCTGTTTTCAAAGGGAACTATGACATCCACCATGACTATCTTCTTCCTGTGGCGATGTCCGGTTGCAGTTGGCTGTCTGTTCCAGGGATGGCGGGGGACACAGCCACCTTCCCTAATAGGTGGCAGGATGGCGCTAACAAGGCGATCTTGGATGGTGTTGTGGCGCAGCTGCCGGGCTCTGGAATGGGGCTTGCAGCTACACAAGACGTTGGGTAGTGTCTCATTGGCATAGCCGCACTTCCTGCATTGCTTGTCCTAATTCCCATGACAGATGGCTCAATTCAGCAGGACACAGTTGAGCTGGGTCCTGTAGATGAACCTCCAGTTGGCAAATTGGGTGAAGCTGCCCCCGAGGCGGAAGTGGTTGCTGGCGTCCCATTTGCATGTCACCTCCAAGGCCTTCCCCTGGTCTGGCTTCCATTTCAGGTTTTCCACGTACTGCCAGGGGATGGCATCCTTCAGGGTCCTCTCCAGTTTGGTTCTAGCTCTCGGAGTGATGATTGTGTGCTCTGCATTTTTCACCTGTGGCACCAGGACTCCCAGTAGTTGGCTTTCCTTGCACCACATCCAGTGGCAGCCGATACGTTTCTCCAGTTGTTGCGTAGCATTGCAGGGATGAGTCTAAAGTGAAGCAGTCTCCCCTGTCTCTTCCAAATTTGCCTTCCAGGGAGCCGCTCAGGTACGTGGCAACATCTTGGTTGGAGGGGGTCCTGATGATTCGCTTCCTGATGACATCATGCAGAGCACTCTCCGTGATGTTCCTCACCATGGCATCCAGGCACATCAGAAGGCAGCAGGCGTGAGTGATCACCGCAGTGTTACACAGATCACCCATTCGAGGGACATTGGCACTGCCCTGCCGATGTGAAATGTACACCAGTTTGTTGCTGGTGCTCCGGGGAAGAAACATCCACTTCTTCACTAGCTGCCTGATAGTGTTGTCCACCTCGTTCAGAGGTACCTTCACCATGGCAGATCCCCTCAGGACAAATGAAATATGGGGGATTAGGAAGGTGTTCAAGGCATAGATCTGCCACCATGGTGCCAGTATGGAACACTCTATCTTGCCCACGTCTCGTAGGATCTCGGCAATGGTATCCTCAGGTGTCTGCTGGACTCGGAAACCTGTGGGCGTGCCGAGATGTTAGTATGCTTGCCCATCCTCCAGGAAGATCAAGAGTTCACCCTGGATCTGGAACGGCGTCGCCTGGACTGTGAGTCCCTTCTATTGCTGTCAATATGCAGGGATGCACATTTCCTAGCATTGAAGTGGAGTCCCATCTAGTTGGTAGCCCAGCTGGTGACCGACTATTTGTTGGAAACTCTGAGTTGTCTGAAATGAGGACCAGATCATCTGTATAGGCCAGGATATTTACCCTATTGCCATACAGGACCTTGTGTGCGAGCAGAATGGGTGGAAATGAATAGAAAAGATGGTCCTTCCAGGGGAGAGGAACGTGTCTGCGAGTAAGCCCAGATGGTGACTGTGAAAAGAGCAGAACTGTGGACACTTCCTATTAGACCTTTGTGCGACAAAGTACATCTGGGGAGTTCTCCCCCTCTGGAAAATGTCCCTCAAATGGACCATTCGTGGTTGGAGAAGGATCTGCTGAGATGATCCACTAATGCATTCTGTGTCCCTGGAAGGTGGGAAAATTTCTTGACTACCACATGGAGCGATCAGTTAGATTCTGAGCAGAGGAGCAAGAACCAGCCATCCAACATCAGACAAACCAGAAGCAAAGGAACCCTCAGGGCTGCTGAGCCCTGCCCCCCATCATCCTAAACTACCCTGTCCTACAATTGCACTCATACATTTGTCCAGCTCTTGTTGCCTGATTCTTTAGGGGTTACTGATTCTATTATTGGTTTCCAATTAGAAGAGCTGGGGATGGTAGGACTCTAGTCCCAGAATCAAGGTTATCAAATTCAATATCTGGTTGGGAACCCCAGTGTGAACAATGATTACACTCACATGGAGGGCAAAGCAAAGCTTTAACCACTTATTTTAACACAATTAGGAAAGACACACATGCTCCAAACCACATAAAAATGTAGCAAAAATAGAGAGAAAGTAGTATCTTGTACCATTCCTCACATATACTCACCCCCTTTCTTGGGGATTTGGTGGTCCTGCTCTGTCCTTGGCGTGGCAAATAAGTCCGATGGTCCAGATTCTGCCTTACAGCATGGTCTGGCCTATTAGAGAGCCTAAGGTCTGTCATAAATATTCATACTAATGTCCATCTTCCTCACCCTAATAACATTAGGGTGTCTTTATCCTATAGGTTAGTTAGTATATTAAAGATTTTAGCTTATTACCATATACATCAATTTGTTACCGAGGCAAGTTTGTGGTCAAGGTATCTCTCATAAAATAGTCAAGTTCAGTGTTTCTGCAGTTACCTGGTATCCTTTTGTACAGAATCTCCCCCTTAAGCCTGCTATTCCCAATTCCCCAAAACTCAAGCTGATCATTTGGCCACTTATCTGTGCCAGAGTTCATAGGCCTCAAAGCCTTAGGCTTAAGGTAGTACCTTATAGGTTCTTTGTGTTACTGATAAGCAAATTAAAATGCTAAAGCTAGCTCTGTGGACTACATGCTCTCTTAAAACAAAATTGTTTGCCCACATGCGTTCTGTTAGGAGCCTGTTCCAGATCTTAGTGTATACTGTGTGCAGATTTTTCCAACTTTTTTACATATTCAGTTACTAGCTTCCCACAGCAGCTTGTGCTCAAACAAATAAGCAAAATTGTATTGCATGAAGAGGCAGTGTGGTCTATGGGATAGGATACTGGCCTGGGACTATGGTGATCTGGGTTCTATTCTTGGGTCTGCCATTGACCTGCTGTGTGATAAGTCACTTCCCCTCTTTGTGCCACCATTTCCCTTCCCACCCTTTGTCTGGAGTGCAAACTTTTTGTACAGAGACACAATCCCTGCCCTAATGCCTAGCAAAATAGACTCCACTTCTCTGTTGCAGCCTCCTAGTGCCACTGTAATATAATGTATTTTCTTATTCTTTGGTTGTTAACTTAATTCTGTGAGACAACCTCAGACAGCAAGAATCAACCTTAAAGCAGTTTAGTGACTACTGAGCTTGAGCAATATGTGCAAAGACACTTTCTAGTCTTAGCAGGGTGAGCACAATGCACCATTTAAAATTAAAGTTCCCTTTCTCCCATCCCCTATAATTCCTTCCTTCCTTGTAGAATTGGAATTTTACAGGTAGGAGGTGGGGCTGAATTTGTTTGCTCTTGTATTAGAACTAGTTGATACTTAACCTTTCAGCAACAGGCATTCTAATTAGTTGGACACTGAATTTTCCCCTCTCCTAATACAAAATACACATATGTTAACCAAGACAAAATCATCCAGTTAATACATTTTAATTATTTTTTGTCCTTGCTCCCTGAGCTTTAAGTTACAGCGATGGGAAATTTGGCTGGGTACAGGAGGAAAGTGCATTTGTGTATAGCTTTAGAACAGCAGTTATCAAACTGTGGATGGGGCCCCCAAAGTCAGTCCTGACCCCGTTTTAATGGGGTCAGCAGGGCTGGTGTTAGAGTTGCTGGGGCCTGTGGTCAAGGTCAAAGCCAAAGCCCTGGGCAGCAGGGCTCAGGTTACAGGACCCCTGCCCAGGGCTGTAGCCCTTGGGTTTCCACTTTGCCCCCCCCCCCATCCCTTCTCCATGCAAGGTGGCAGGTCTCAGGCACGCTCAGGCATCAGTCCCCCTCTCCTGGGGTCATGTAATTTTTGGTGTCAGAAGGGGGTTGCAGTGCAATGAAGTTTGAGAATTCCTGCTTTAGAATATTAGTTTTGCTGTACTAGTCCACTTCATTCCAAAAAATAATACAAACTCATGGGTTTGCATTTAAGTTACTGTTAAGTGGATTATACTAAAATGTTCCTGTAAAAAACAGAGCATTATTTGATGATAATGGAGATTACTCAGACATGTGACAAAAGAATTAACAGTACTTCTCCTGTCTCTCTCCCACCTCCCTTTAGAGTGTTGCTTGGGCCCAAGATACACTATTACATTCTTTGGCCTCCAAGGGGCAAGAGGAGGGCTGTAGGATGGGAAGAGAGAGCTTTTCCAGAATAACTATCTGTAAACCTTCCTTGTTCTAGCTCTCTTTCCTTATTGAGTAGTTCTTAGCCATCTACTGGAGACTTACTGATAACTGCAGCTAAGGTTTACCTTAGGGAGCTTGAAGTATTAAATGGTGAAATTCTACTTCTCCTGCAGATTTTAAAAATCACATTAAAAATTGTCAACTCAACCCCCCCACACACACACACTTTAGGAAGTGGTGGGGAGGAAGGATAGCTTTATTGTTAAAGCATCAGAATGAGACTGGCAAAGCTGGTAATCAAACCCAGATCTCAGACTTCCTCTGACACCATGGGTGAATCTTAATTCCCTGTGTGTGAATACTACGGTCTCTCTTTCATCCTTTGTCTTATGAGCATTTTGGGGCAGAGACTAGTATATGGAGGCTCTTATCCTAAGGTTGGTTTACACAGGAAAACTCAGAGAAGCTAATCCAAATGAACTAAAGCTGTGAATTTAAGCTGCATTAAACTCCTGTGTTGACATTCAAACCAAATTAAGGCTACTTTTAATTCATTTCAAAGCTATTCAGAATTAGTGTTCCAGGGTAGACAAACCCTTGGTTGTGGCCTCTTCCTGCTAATGCAATACAAACAGTGAGTAAATTATTTTGCGGTAGATGCAGAAATCTGAATTGGCTTTGGTCACGTAAATACCAGAATCACTAACCATTACAGGGAGAATTGATGGGTCATCGCCAGCAGCCAGAACAAAGTTCAACTGTGACGCTTGCTTAGTCTCACAACTTGATCTAAATTATCTGCATGATTTAGATGGAGACACAGTTTCTAAAGGTGCTAGGACTCAAACCACTTTGGGCTTTACAAAACAACCTCTCCATCTTAAATTACACCTGGAAACAAATGGAGAAATGCAGTCCATAGGGTGAATGTATAAAACACCTCAGCTGTGGACCACCACTTAACTAAGCAGTTGGCTTATCAGTCATTGCATTAATGGCTCTGTGCTAGTATATCCAGTATGTTAACCACCCTGCTGAATAGTGATCCATTTTAATATTAACAGCATAATCAGCCCCAGTCAATATCATACAGACTACAGCTCAATAGATGGATTAATGGTTTTTTGTTTTCTTTTCTCCTTACTATTTGAAGGGCCTGAATCCAAAACCGGTCAGAATGAAATAAGCCTCCAGGTTCCAAGCCAGTCTGAATTAAGGCAAAAATTGTCTTCATCATCATCAACCTGGACTGACTCTGCCAGCCAGGGTACCAGTGAAGTAGAGTCTCCTGTTATCCAGTCTGATGAGGAGGAAGTTCAAGTGGACACTGCCCTTGCTGCTGTAAATACTGAAAGAAAAGGTACTTCAGATGTCAGTGATGAAAGTGACTCTCAGACTGTTTGAATCCTAGCACCATATCTTCTAAGAATCTTTGACTTTTGAATGAACGAAGAGCTCGCCCATGTTGTAGGAATTAGTTAACTAATCATGAAAGTCTATAATGTTGCCAGCCATGTGGATTTTTTTTTTAAATTGCCTAAACCACACACTTTAATAATAAAGTTTTGGGGTTTTTTGGAGCAGTCAAGCTTTGTATATACTGTGTATAGAACTAACAGGGAGATTGGATAATCTTTAAATTCCTTAACACTGATGTCACAATGTTCCTTATCTGCATGTTTGAGCTATGTGGCTGAATATAGAAGATTCACAAACAAAACCTTACATGCTGCCAAAGACACTGATGCAGCAGCATCCACTCCCCCCCATGTTGAATTTATTGGGATAACTTTAGCTACAAATGAAAGATACTTACCAAGGGATGCGAGTTGCACATTGAAATCTTACCCTTCTGCTGGAGCAGCCATCTTAGCACTGTTATAAGCATGCTCCTTTCATTGAATAAAGTATTTCTACCCCAGCCTTGTCTTCCTACTTATACCAAAACATTTTCTGCAGGTTAATTTTATAATGGGTATTTTGGGAGAATCACTTAGTGATTAGAAAACCTAATCATACAGCTTTTGCTTTGTTGCCTAATCTGCTGTTCTACAGTAACTTCAGTTTGACCACATCTTGATAGAAAAATTTAGGGAAAAAATGACTGCACCATGACTTAACTCTAGTGTGGACCTCCTAACAAAGACCCTGAGAGCTGAAGAGCCTCATTCTGCTTATCAATATGAAGCTGCTCCTGCACTGAGGGACAGGGAAATCTAGCCTAAGGAAGCTAAAAGTAAAAGGTGACTGGCAACAGGCAGCTGTTACCTTCCAAAAGACCCTCCTTTCTCGTAGTTAGTGGCTTGGAAAGAGGTAGTCCCCACATCCGGCCAGCTGGGAACTGGCCAATTTCCTAAGGATTCAGCTGTTTTGCTTGCTTTTTGGTAGAGTGTTTCCTGTCTTAGCACTGTGAAATTAAATCTGGAAACAAACTTTTGCATGATAAATTAACTTATTTCAATTTAATGAATGAGATTAAAAGTCTAACCCTTTCTTAAAGAAATAGCTCATTTCACTCGCTCACCTCCCAGAAGACAGACAAAGTGTCCAAAAAAAGTTTTGTTTTTATTAAACCTTGTAGTACAAACCTGAAAAGTAAACAAAAACTGGCAATAAACAACATGAAGTCTTTCCTTACAAGGAAAGAGAGCAGAGCAGCGCTAATAAATTAAATGTCAAACTGTAAGCCATTGTCAGAAGTTTACTGTCAAGAGGGAAAAGTACACAGCAAGGCCATAAAAACCAGACAACCACATTTAAAAAACACTTGACTCTGTTTATGTTATTGTTAAATATTCCAAAACAGTTCAGTCTTCTGCAACAACAACCAACAAATTGTATTATAGGACTTTCCTGACAGTCACCACTGGCAAGCTCAGTGCAATATGGGTAGCTACGGTATTGTTGAATTCAATTATGAAACAAAACAGTTTGTGAAAACATTTTCCCTTTTTTATTCCACACATACTGTACACACAACCAGAAAAGGGCAACAGCTACTCCATTATTATTTTTTGTTGTTGTTCAGTGATGTAAGCAGCACTTATAAATGTTACAAGAAAAACCCTGTAAGCATCCAATCCAACCGATGAAGAAAGTGAAACGTAAGGCTTTTCTTCATCTTGTCTCTATACCACCCCACCCCCCACCCCAAGAAAAGGCTCAAGTATTTAAAACAATTTACAGGCGTATGTACAAAAGGTGTGATTTTTTTTTGTTACAATATGAAGAGAAAAAATAGACAAGATGAGAGCAAATGCATTTTCACATTCAAAAGAAAGATGCAGACCTGCTAGTGGCTCTAAATGTGATCATATAATGAAAAATTCAAAACAAAAATTAATGCTGACTGTGTAGAGATGTGAAAAACAGCAGTGGAATGGAAATGGAATGTTAGAAAGATTGCACGTCTATGACAAAGAAGCACTTATGGCTTCAATCACGTTTTTATTTTTTAAAGGATGCTATTGAAGGGTTTTTGATAAAGTAGCCAACAGCACCAAAAAATAACAGAATGGATTTCCTAATGAAATCAGGCACAGTTTTCCCTCATTTGACTCCCTCAAGGCAGGCAGTCTTTTTCCTTCTCTCCCCCCCCACCCTCCCTCCCTCAAACAGATGCATAGTGATGTGCTGGTAAAAGAGAACATATTTACTCCAAATCTCCTCATTTTGCTTATGGTTAGGAAACAAAGTCCATCTTCAGCTGCCATAACCTCCCAAAGAAAGTGTGTATTCTCCAATTTAAAAAATTACAAAACTCATCTTGCCTGTGACAGAATAAAAGACAGCCAAAGTAAAGCAATTTCTTTCAAGTTTTGTTCCTATCCCTTTTCTCTCTAGAAAATCTGCTCACATGACTGGAGAACAAATTATAAAACACATCAAACTTTAACCTATTCAAAAATGGGTTAAAAGCCTTTTTTCACAGTTACCAAAAAAGGCTTTTTTCAGCCATAGGGCCAGTACAAATTAATATTTTATCAGCCCCCTTGCCGGTTTTAAAACAGTGAACATACGGCAGTTTAAAAAAATTTGACTGCTGTATATAACTATCCTAAGTACAAAAAAAATTCAACAGTTTAATGCTAAAACAAAATTAGTTCTCTAAAACCAGAAGAAAATCTTCTTTAGAGCTAGTGCAAAGACAGCTTGTATTCTACAGCAAGTACTCCAAACTATGGTATAATAATTACAAAAAAATATATATAAATTGACAAAATGAGTGTTGGCATCTTCAGGATTAACTTGAAGCACTTTTGGATGAACTGGAGGATGAAAGCCTAGATGATGGCACGTCGACTGTTGCTCTCTTACGAGGTCCTCTTTTTGGTGTAGGCTTGCTGATACAGTTCTCGATGTTGCCATTTTTACCAGAGACTTTCCCACAGAGATTGACTAGACCGATTATTTGTTCCTGTTCAGAGAGGGGACAAAACAACAAAGTTAATATCTTGTTTCTCTTTTTTCCCAGCTGCCTAAGATACTGGTTTTAAAAGCAATCCTATTAACAGAATCCTGGCAGAGATGTTATGTTCAGAATCTTAGAACTGTGAGGGTTGAGAAGGTTCTCAAACAATCCTATTGGCTGCTCAGCCCTTCCACCAAACTTAAAGACAATAGTCTGAAAAATGAGACATTGCACAAAATTCCAAGCTCTAAATACAGTAGTTTGTAGAGAATCTGGCAACAGAGTAAAGAGACATGAGTAACACTGCACCCCTGTGCACCAGGGTGCAGTGCCTGGAGCTGGGGCAAGACCCACTGCAGGCTCACTCTCCAGCCCCCTCATTGGGCTGGGATTACTCACTCAAATTTGAAGTCACACTACCCATAAGATTTTCATCGCTGTGCCAAATCTGCAGCCCTAGCCATACATTAGAAACAGCTGAAAGATCAGTCTCAAAATGCTTGGAACACAGACTGATTACACAGAGCTGCTCCTGCCACCCACAGGTCCTGCTAACAACAAACTGCTTCTTCCTGATGTGTGAATGAGCACAGCTCCCAAACCCCACTCTGTCCAGCAGCCTCTCTGCTGCTGCAATTGCTAAGTCTTCTGTTCTCCAGCATCACTCCTAAACTACTGAATCACATTGTGCTGATTTGGTTTCTAACCTCCCTCAAATCACTACTGTGACTACATCCACCAACACTACAAGATTACCAGTAAAGTTTCAGGCTGGACTCATGGTAAGTCAAATTTACTTTAATTTAGTGAGAGCTTGTATTGAAGTTACTGTAAATTGACAAATGAAAGTACATCATCATTTACAAGGGTCCCAACCCAATAAATACCTCCCCCCGAAAACGCCCCACCTTTACAGTTGATGAGTTACAGCTCTCTTCTAACTGATGTGATCTTGTATTTTCTCTTTTTATTTATAGTGTTTTGATGGCCAACATGCCAGCAATAAGCATATTCCTGCTCTACCAGAAATTGTATGCAAGTTTTCCTGACTACCTGGAGCCTCTGTCAGACTAGGCAGGAGCCAGGAAATAAGTCTAGGCTGAAATATCCAACTCTGGAGGCCATCTGGCATCACCATCCTCAAGAATGCAAACTATATTGTACAGACCTCGTCATAACGATACATCATTTTCAGTCCCCGACAAGTCTTCTGTTTTTCCACATGCCGGAGGGCACATTCCAGGCAGAAGACAACATTTTCATTCTCCTGTACGACCTAACAAAAATACAGATAGAAAACATTAATATGATTCAAATCACAGCCACATCTAACACACGTGGCATACCCAAAATTGGGGTTTTTTTCTGGGGTGGGGAGCAGGAGGAGAGAGGGAAAATAGAAGAACTTGTGCTAAGTGACTGGAGTAGATGGGCTATCCAAATTAATACAAGGACAAAGTTTGTGCTGACTTTCTTCTCTTCCCCTCCCCACCAAATATTTATTTGAGTATTTAGCCATCATCATGGACAAATACCACGTCTTTAAAAAGAATGAGGTTAATGAATCTCCCTGGCTCCAGGTAAAGCATACTAGTCCAAGTGATTTGCTGCACCCACTGCTGAGAAAATTTTTTTTCACAGGTGCACCTGCTCAAACCACCTTGAGATAAGTGCTCATAATAACCCAAGGCCTGCTCAGCATTTGAATGAGACCCCTCCACTTCAAGTGTCCTGCTCACCCAGTGCCCCGTTTCATTCTGTGGCAGGTGCCAGTCTTTGGGATGAAGCATAACAGAAGACCTGGCCATCTGAGGGATTTAGTAACACAAGAGCCCTTCTCCCAAGAGGGGGCTGCCATGAAATTCTTTAAAAATTCCAGTGTTTGTTTACACTGAAGCTACTTAAATTCCCCCTGCAGTTTCAATAGGATAAAGCGATGTTCACTTCTTATCCTAAACCCTAGGATACTAATGCTTTGTGGTGTTAAACTATTGAGGTATTCTGGCAAAGGGTGGCAGAGGTATTTCTGAATACAGGATATTGTTGCAAGGTACTGTGGAATCTCTCTGGATAAAAGGTGCTACAGAATTCTAAGATACTGTTAGGAGCTGAACTGTCTTGACAAGACTCTGAAGGCAGCATAGCCATCTTACTATATTGCATACCAGTGGCAGAAGGATAAGCAAGAGATAATTTAAAGGATGGGATGAGCTAAAGATGATGAAGGAAAAAGTGCCTATTGCATTTTGTGTATTACAAGCAATCTAAATAATAAAAAAACAGCAATAATAATGAACAGACACAAGCTATACCGTGAGTACACAGCTCTGTCAGCATCTTCCATTTAATCCTCACAATTTCTTGCAAGGCAACTCCTTTGAACAGTTGTTCTACCATTAATTCAAACCATGTCTTGAATGGTGATAAACTGGGGACTGCTTTTAAATACAAATGTAAAGCCATGGTTCTGCTCTGAAAAATAACTAAAACCAGCACCATAGGGTTCCTTAGTTACTGTCTCTCTCTGAGTTCAGATAAAAGTTGCTCAGTTTGAAAGTACAATGATGGTTTTATAACTGCCAGTCCTGCAAACTCAGCCGGGGTCTTGATTAAATTAAGAAAGATGCTGCAAGACAAACTCTTCCCTCACTTACACAACCTCACTGGTGTCAGTGAGGTTGGACAGGTTTAAATGAGTAAAGAATCTGGCCCTGTAATTGGAATTTAGTTCATAAAGATTCTGTTGTGGATCCCTGAACTAGAGTTGAATCTCTCTCTCTCTCTCTCGGAATTACTGGCTATACAATATATATTTCTATTGTTCAACTGAGCTGCTAAGATGGAATACGAGAGTATCATTTTTACATGGTAATTTTTCAAAGCAGAACTGCACTTTAAAGCTAGTTCAGGCTAACTCTGCTTAACATGGTTTAGCCCACCAGACACAACCAGTCCTTGTCCAGAGGGAGTTTAAAAATCCAACATGGTCAGCCTAGGAAACTCATTTTTAACAGCAATAGGCTGTTTTCTTTTCTTCAAAGAAACAAATCCAAACAAGGAAGGAGGAGAAACACAAAATTTGCTCACACCTGGGGTTCAGCCCAGTCCTATGACCCGTGGTGTGGACTTTTGGCACTATTTGGGTGATTTTCTTTAAGTCCTAGCTTCTGGAATCAGGTGATTACATGAGAAACACAGCTTCATTTAAAAACCACCACCATCACCACAAGTTTATCACTTGGAGTTGCAGAGAAAAAACTTGAGAATGTGACATGAATGCACCATAAGGGCTCCAGGCCCCTACATTTATTTTTTAAAAACTTCAGTTTTTTAGCCAAATCACATGATTTTTGAATACTTGCATTGGCATTACTGAGTTTTATCCTAACACAGATAGTCACCCTCTCTTGCTGACTCAGTCAAGTTATAGCCCTTCCTCTGCAAGGAGGAGGAAGCTGAGCTAAGATTAACCCTTTGTTCCCCAGGGATTCGTTAGCAACCCCCATTTCCAATTCTTTCTAGGAAAATGAAATCTAGACCTTTGAGTGTGGCTGTTGGTATTACAGTACATGATTTTGCAGCTGCTGGGCTATATGGTGTGTTAGTCCACACACGAGGGATATAAATTCTAGGGCGCAGTAGCATGTTGTGCATTAACTGATACATGTCGAACCTGCTGGAGGGGGCAAAAAGTTCCCTAAATGCATGTTAACATAGTAGTGTTTGAAACAGGACTATTTTAATGTGCAGTAGGGAACTTTTAGTGCATACCAGCAGGATCCACATGGGCCAGTTAGCATGCAACATGCTAGTGTGCACTAAAATTTGCACCCCTCTAGTGCAAACTAATGTATCATGAAGAGAAGCCCATTGTGTCTGTTTGTCTAACGCTTAAGGTTTAATAGAAACCAGGCTGAAGACGAAGCAATGGTTACTGAGTCAGTAGTGCTATAGGCATACTAAGGGTTTTCCTCACCATAGAAAGGTAACATAGGTGCTGGCAAATCTGACACCTCCTCTCAGACGTCTCGAACTGCAACCACTTTCGAGGCTTTTTCTTTCCATCCACCCCCGAGCTACTGCTGTCGTGGCTCCCATAGCGGGCTGAAGAATGGAGGCCTGCCTCATAAAGCTGCCGCCGCTGCCTCAGTTCTGTGTCCCTGTGAATATTTTATGAAGTTAGCAAACTGGCATCTCCCATGCAATACTGCAAAGCTACACTCAGGAGATCTCATACAATGATCGCCATTGAAACCTTAATCACACACAGCCAAACCGTTTGCGTCATCTCCGTGTTGGTGCTATTCCCTATACCTGGAACAGGAAATGCAGCCAACATCACAGTAAGACTGGAGCTGCTTTTGCAGTCAGAGATTTTAACAGCAACCATTGTATCAAACCAGTGGTTCTCAAACCGACACACGGAACCTTGTGACAGTAGAGCCCTGCTTGAGAGTCTGGAAGGGAGCTGCTGGCTCATGTGGTAGCGGCAAACATGCCCGCCCTTCCTCAAGTTGCCAAGAGCCATCATGAGGAGGAGCCACTACTGCCAGGAGGGGTAGCATAGCCGCCTTCACCAGGAGGTGGAGATGACCCAGGGAGCAGGC